CCCTCCCCCAAACAAAATAGGGAAAATTTAGTCTTTGCTCCTGTTATGTCATGAGAGCCGCTTGAAGCCAGACATGTGGGGAGCATGTGTCCAGGCCTGTCTGGCCCATGCAAAAAGACTGCTAGGCGAGACCGATGTCTGAGAGTTGGATTATGAAGGGGTAGAGTTAGTTCCCATTTGAAAAGATCAGTGTTGCAAGGCCAAGCAAGTAGCAGTCTGTAATTGAGCAGTTAAACGAGAACTATGAGGTGAGTGCTTTTCACTCACCTCATAGTTCTAGCCGACCTGTGACAATGAGACTGTCACAGGTCGGCTCAGTAGATCGGGAGGTGAGCGAACACATACCGGGTTCGCTCACCTCTCGATCCTGTCACGGCTCTCTGCCGTGACAGGAGGAGGGGCTGGATTCCCCTCTCCCCGCTCTACCAGTGCTGACTGGCGGAACGGATGGGGGAGGGGGCGGGTACAGCTGGCTCTGCCTCTAGATAGGCAGAGCCAGCTGTCACTCACGCAGCTGGGCGGATCCCGTCGTCTAAGTCGGGATCCGCTCCGGCGTCTCAGTATACCGCGAGCTGTAGCTCGCGGTATACTGAGCTTAGGGTAACGGGAGGACGCTAGTTTGTGTCCTCCCGTTACCCTAAGGAGAACTATGGGGAAAAACACTGACCCCATAGTTCTCCTTTAAGTCCAGGCTCATGATTGAAAGAACCAGTTAAACAAAAGAGACAGAGGCAGCTCTGTCTTGAGGAGGAAATAGCCATTTTGCCACACAGAAAGACCTTTGCGTTTGAGGCTATACTTAATAACCCCTTTTGTGGGTAGAACACGGTGTTACTTTGACATTTTATAAATAATTATAAATTATTAAAAATGTTAAAACCTAAAAGTCCTTTTCAGAAGTTTACATTTGAAGCCTCTTAATGGAGTCCTTTTAGAACTCAACATTTGAACCAAAACCTCTGCCGCTAAATGACAGATCCCTGCATGGATTGTTTACAAAGAGCAATGCTACCACCACAAACCACAGATCCCTGGCAAGCTGGTGTTTTTTAAACAAACCAACTGGAGATCCTGAGTGAGGTTATTGACCAAATATGCTTAAGACCACGGCCGGTTTGTTTACAACCAGCAGCCAACAAAGGATCCGTCTTTTTGCAGCAGTAATGCTATTGCTGCTAAATGACTTATCCCTGGCCAGATGATGTTTTTAAACAAACCAGTCAGGGATCCTGGATGATGTCATTAACGAAATACGATCATTTACATTACCCAGGATCTGTTTACAAACAAAGTCAGCCAGGGATCTGTCATTTTCGGGTGGCAGTGAGACAAGTCAACATGGTCAGTTGGCAGCAAGAAAGATGTGGCGGATGAGGCTCTACATTGCTGGACACCATGATTGATACTGTATTTACTTTAGGGGACATTGTTTACTTTTTTTCATAGTCATCCAGTCATGTTAATCCTCGTCATTCATGATGCCATGACAACCCATCACTGGAAGATGCTTCCCCCCCCCTTCCCCAAATGGCAGATCCCTGGCTGCTGTTCTTAAAACAACCAAGCTGGGGATCCTGCGTGACGTCATTGACAAAATATGGTCATGACCATATATGATCAATGGCGTTGCCTGCGATCCCTGGCTGCTTTGTTTATAAAAAAAAAAAAAAAAAAAAGGTCGGCTAGAGATCTGTCATTTTGGGGTGGTAATGCGGCAAGGAAGCATCGCTGGGTAAGAATTTATAAGTAAACCCCCAGGACCCTTTTGAAGGACAGGATGTGGGGATGAGGGCATTATTGTCCCCTCAACATGGGGACAATGGTGCCTTGTATGCTTTTTATTTGAAGGTTTTGTGTATTTTCAACGTTGCCCTTTAAGTCACATCAAAAGACCCCTCTTCACGGAATGGCATTTTTAAAAATTTCTTTTGCATTGGTACATGTCCCCCATTGCAGTGCCAAGTTACTCCCTTTTTTGACAATAGCTTGCAAATTACCTTTGAAAAAGGCCAGAAAATAAAAAGCAAGAATGGTCTCCCATAGCCATAGACTTCAATAAGATTTGGCACTATATTCTGGGTTTGCAGACTTTCAGCAGGGTTTGTCCTGCTCGGATCACTCATCCCTAGTGTGTGTATTTAGGGGTAACAATCTATTTTATGGCTTAAACCACTGACACTCATGTTCCTGAAGGTCATTATAAACTACCTTGCAGAGAAGACTCCTACATCACTGTTGCTTGCAGGCTGATAGCTTGCGTACTTTGCCCCCTGATGTGCTGGCCTTGCGCTGGGATGCAGAACTAACTCTCCTCTCTGTCTTGAGCTGATTTTCTGTGCCATTCATACACAGCTGTTTGGTAGCAGCACTGCCCTGTGTCTGTGCAAACATGTCCTCTTCAGGTACCTGCCCTGGGAAGGAGAGGAAAAAAAAGAAGAAGTACTTGTTAAGAGAGGAGACTGCCCATTGATATATAGGATGTTATAAATTATCTTGAATGGCTACGAGTTGGAGTTCTCCAGAGAAAGCACTCATTTTTAAGAAAGGTAACAGAATTCTTCCTATTTTTACAACTCTTTGTCAATCCAGTAATGGATAATATCAAGCTATCAATAACAAATGAAAAAGATGAAAATTGATATTTCATTGACAAATGAAATATTATTAAATTATATACATAATTAGAAACTGAAAATTAAATGAATGGAAGCTTACTGATATATTGTATGTTGATTTTATTCTGTGGTTCAATATTAATATATATGGTATTATATGATATTTTTTCTTTTGAAAAAACAGATTATTGCTGAAAATTGGTATACACAAAACATACAGAGTGAATATATCCCCCTGAGGAAGCCTATCTGGGCGAAACGCGTAGGGGACTCATCAATTAGTAATATACCTGTATTAGAAAGAATCAATTATGTGTATATCCTTATCCACATGAATGTATTGAGAATGTATGAAATACGGTTTGTGAATATACCAATCAGCAATAGTCATAGAATTAGATACATGTATCCTTGAATTGCATATGAATATCACCACAAGAGAAGTTGTAAACAATATTTTATTGAACTGCATGAATCTTTTAAACCAACAAGAATCTAAAATCAAATAAATATATTTTGTCATATTATATACATCTGAGTCCTTTCCAAACACACCCCATCACAATAGAAATATTGTAAACAATTGCTAAACTATTTTCACAACTAATACACTTTTGGATTACAATCTTCACTGCCAAAACCCCAAACTTATTTTTATCAAAGGCTACTTGTACAACTGGGTACTTTTTCTTTTTATACACAATTATACTAATTAGTTTTCAATCTCTTGACTGTCCGAAATGAAACATTTGACAAAAGAGGTTTTCTGTACTCACCCATGTTAAGTCTAGTGTTTTTTATGCATCAACCTTCTCTTTATTTCTTTAAAAAAAATACTTCAGTATTTTTAAGTCATGAGTAAGTTTAGCAAAACTTCCTAAAAGGGCAAGACAATAGGTCCCCAGTGTGTAAATCCTAGATCCCCCTACATCATAATATAGAATTATAAATGTAGTAATCATAGTAAATTACATTTTAATATCGGAATTGCAAAGCCATGGTAGTTTCCCCTTTTTGTGGTTCCAAAACACCATTCCAGCATCTGGAATCCCCTGTTAAAATGCAATGACCATGACAAAATCTGGCAGATAAGTCAACAGACAGAGAGTATCCCTCACCCAGATGTTTTGGTTGCATTTTACACTTACAAGGCCTTGGATATCAGTGAAAACTTGACAGGTGTTGTAATCCTTACCTGCTATATTCCAAAAATTTAGAAACATGTTTTAGCTGAACGTAACACTTTAAGTACAGGGCTTTATAAATTCTGATAACCTACTACTGTATGATCTCTTCACTCCTGGAGGGTAAATGTGAATTACTGATTGGATTTCAAACTATCTAAGATAAATTCTTTAAAAAAATACTGACTTCCAGATGAACCCTGCCTACAATATTCATCAGTACAGGTGCGAAAGCCCGCTTTACCTGGAACTGTGAAATCTTGTGTGTAGATGATTTCATCCTCCAAGTCACAGAGGTCCTCATCTTCACTATACCCGTGCAGATCCTCCAGGTAAGGCACAACTGTCAGACTCCTCCAACGGTCCTTGGTTTCTGAACTAGGGGGAATGGGGACAGGAGGATCCATCTGTGGATGCTTCTTCCGGAACCAGCTGCAAGTTTGATAAAAGGGAGGTCTCTTGACCACTCATACTATAGGTTCATATGACTACAAAGTGAAAAAGGGAAGAGACAGACACCTCAAACTATACATACGTAGGCCCTAGGTACTATTATCATGACCATTATATTAATGACCGACTATCAGCATGCAGCACGGTCTACAAAAGCCCCACTGCTCATTCTCATTCCAGCTACGGTACTGTCTTTTGCATTCATTTTTGCTGTAATTAAATCTTTTGCTGTCCCTCCAAATGTCATCCTTATTTTTTATAAACAGAAATTGCTCACATCCATTTAATATATCTCAATTGTTTGTCTAAACCATCATATTCATTGCCCCTTTGCTTACTGACTGCTGACCTGGTTGACAATCTTATGCATAGTGGACATATACAAAATGATGTTGACAAAGCAAAAGTTGTGATAGATTGGAATGCCCTGCTCCTGAGAGCTGGGTCTAGAAACTCCCAATCCTTGTTCCTGGTTCTTTTGCCTCTGACGACATGCAGAGAGGTGACCCAGTTGCCGGGGCAACCAGCTGAGGATGGAAAGGAGGGGGGATGCTGCTGTTACTCTGCACATCTTTCCAGGCTCAGTAGATGAGTCACACCATGTCTTCTAAGCACCCTGTCACTAAGGGGGAGAAAACGATAGAGGGAGGGTGAAGGTTTCAGCAGATAGAGGTATAGGGAGAGATGCAGAGAGAAAATGCAAAGAAAATGAGAGAACCAAACCAAGTAGAAGAAAAGGCAACAGAGAAGGAAGAGGAGAGGATAGTTACAGCAAAGACTCAAAAGGCTTTAAGTATCATAAAAAGCCAAGATTTAAAGTGCCATTAAACGGAAAAACACAATTGCTAAACTAAAATCAGCACATGATCACCTTATGTATAGCGTAGAAGGTTCTGCAGATCAATAGCAATAATAATTAACAATTAAGACTGAAATCCTACTGTGCTCAACCAGGTTTGGAAAGCAGAAGCTACCAAACACATCAAGGCAACCTACCACCATATAAATATACATGTAACTACATAAATTAAATGACTGTGTAAAAACAAAGTTTCAGATGATACTTTGTTCATCAAACTTGCATGCCTCTTGATTATGAAGCATGCTCATTGACTATACTGTGTCAGTATTCATTACTAAATCACTATTCTGCTGTATAAGCAGACAGCAAATTATTTTAACCTACTAGGGCTCCTGAGCCACTGGTCTCTCAATGCAATCGTTCATTCAACTTATGTTTAAAATATATCTTCACAGCTTGTGTCAACATGCTTTTGTTTACTTTCAGTCAGGTTCTGCATTCCCCACACAAGTCTGTGGGAGTCCAAAAGCCACTGGAAGCAGGTCAGATGCACCTGTAAATGGATTCTGAAAGATCTCAGAAGTGTCTCAAACTGATGCCACTGACACCGAGCTCAAAGCCCCTTGACACAGGCTAAGTGTGTGGTCAAACGTTAATTGCTTTCATTGTCTCCCTGTGGGCCTCATAGGTGTGGTGATTTTTTTGTCGGTACCCTGGTTTTAACACTAACCTTACAGCCCAGTGGCTGTCATCACTGAAGAAAAATCAAAACATTATCTCAAATATATTCTGACCCCTTTACTTAACCTACCCTCACCCAAACCCTAAAGTTTAGCCAGTATCTTAAAATGAACCATGAACACAGAGACCCTATCCACACACAAAAAAAAAAAAAAAAAAAAAATAAAAAAAAAAAAAAAAAAAACCAAAAAAAAAAAAAAAAAACTGTACGACGCGTTCCTAAAATCTCCACCCTCTTTCAGAGCAAAGTCAGTGGCAACATTTTGGTCATTCTATATTTCTGGTCGTGCCCACATCCCCTGCCACTCTGTCGTTCCACCCTCAAGCCATTACATTACTACTGTGTCCCTGGCACTGCAGTGGGAGACCAGGCATCTGACACATCCAAAAGTCTACTGGATGCTGAAGATTCTGCCAGCAGCTTTGCATAGATTGGCATAGCACGGTTACAATGCTATGGACAGTGCCATGGGAGATTTCGCTGGGAGAGCTTGGGTTTTATCATTACAACCCTGTAAACATACAGTTAGAACTGATCAGTGAGCTTCTGACACAGCCTGTTTACATTATACCTGGTTAGGGAGACTGCACAGTGGAAGTAGTGATAAAAAGGCTGCAGCACCAGAAATGAAAGGCGAGGTTAAAAAAGGGGCAGATTGAGCAAGCAACTTGAATCCAATGTGGCTGTAAGATTCCACATAAGGGACATCCTGTTATAAAGGTAACGTAACACTTAGCATGCAAAAGTAAGTAGCTGGCTACCCAGCCAATGGCCACAGGCTCACGTTAACCTGACCCTTAACCTATTCCCAACATTAAATGAACCCACAGACAGAACACTTACCTTGTCAGGTACTTGAACTATTAGTTTGGAAAGAATACTTACTTGCTTCCACAAATGCACCTATATCTGCGTTGACCCAAATGTTGTAAATTTCCAGCTGCCCAGGCTGGTCATATAGTAATAATCTTACAATGTCTTGTATAGTTGATCAAAAAAACAGCCAACCCAAATACCGAAATGCAACCTACATATCTTTGCACAGATTTTTATACTTCAAAACAGATCTGTTGTCTTCAATAATTTTATTTAATTGATTATCCTTCAATAAGCTCAACGTGCTAATAAGCAAAAATATGTTTTTAGGCTTATCAGTCACTTTTAGTCCTCAGGATTCCCTGTGTCAAGGGCAGGTTAAAAAAAAAAAAAAAAAGGAACAGGCAAAGAATTTGGAAAATTGATGAATGATATTAAGAGTAAAACACAACACGATGAAAGGACATGACAAACTGGAAATCACAGAGATTTAAAGAACTAAAATGAAAATAAACATGTATGGAACATGAACTTAGCATTGCAAAAGGAGCTTTAAATCCCTCTCCATAGAGAATGGAAGCCAGTTACTCCCCCTTTAATGGCTAAAAGTTCCTTGGCACACATCCATCATGATCATCATCCACTGATTCAGACCAACAATTTCTGTAATAATGCGGAGCTATAGTAAAAATTCTATCAAGAAATAAAAACTCACTTGTGAAGACGAATCTGTTGTATTGAAAATCTCTTGGTTGGGTCATATTCCAACATTCCTAGTGGAAAAGAAAGGTGTATGGATAATTATTCCATGGCATAGTTAAGGAATTAAACACCTGAAATATCAGTTATGGTAACTCCTTTACAAAATGAATGCACCTAAAATGTAAAATATTTGGAAGATTTAGCTGGGCCGGAGATCTTACAATACAGATCAGTAGATCGGGTTTTACAAAAATGAGCAGTTAATACACGCTGTGAAGCAAGCTGCAAACGTCAGTTGGCAATCATAATCAGCACAAGCAGCCCTCATGTGGCATGCATTTGTCAATACTTTGTAGTGATTCAGGTTGTAGTAAATCGTATTTGGCAATCCACATACTGTTCAGTCTGGTAAAATCACATCGCATGTCCTGGACCCCCTTATATTACTACTTTGCAGCTTAAGAGTGTCTGGTTATACATCAATGGGGAGATCAATGGGGACAAACTCTGATGTCTTGTAGAGAAAATTACTACAAAATATTAAGCAGTACTAAAATTATATAAACAGCCTGCTAGTCAAAGGGTTACAGATTTTTCACTGGTTCAACAGCGGAGCCTACATTAATTTCCAATGACCCTGAAGTAATACAGTACAAAAAAAAAAGGGGGGGGGGCTCCTGTTTTAATCACTAGTCTTGTGGCCAACTCACACTTGAAATTATTGATTCAATTATTATTTAAATGACTGAAATCTAAGTCCTGCCTCTACTGTTGCTCATCTTTGTACCTGCACTTTCCCAACTGTCATTAAGCTAGTTCCATAATGTGCATCCCAAACTTGCCTTTCACCAATCTGGAGGTGAAAAACAAATAGTATGACACATAGCAATTTCATTAGAGCACAGCATTGAGCAGAGCAAGTAATGCAATAAGAACAGAGAGAGCTAAAGGGTACACAGGAAGTAAATGGTCATATCTCCTATGCAATATAAACACCTGGGGGCTGTGTTACAAGGAATTTAGTATTCATAGATATGAGTGTACAGCGCTACCTATTCAAAAAAAAGTGCATGATTAATCCCTTTTAAAAAAAAAAAAAAAAAAAAAAAATGCATAAAATAACTAGTGCATCCTAAAGCTAAAAATAATTGATAAATGAGTACCACTGACACAAACTAGCGTTCTCCCATGACCCAAAGCTCAGTATACCGCGAGCTGATACTGATACAACGCAGCCGGAACGTATCCCGACATTGCTGTCGAGATCCACCCAGCTGCGGAATTGACAGCTGGCTCTGCCTATCCAGAGGCAGAGCCAGCTGTGCCTGCCCCCTCCGCCGTCCGTTCCGCCAGTCAGCGCTGGAGGATCGGTGCGAGGTGGGGGGGGAATCCCTGCAGGGAGCCGTGAGTGACAGCCACGGCTCTCTGCAGGGATAGATCGAGAAGTGAGCGAGCGACGGTATGTGTTCGCTCACTTCCCGATCTACTGAGCCGACCTGTGACAGTTTCATTGTCACTGGTCGGCTCAGATTATGAGGCTGAGTGAAAATAACTCGCCTCATAAATTCTCCTTTAAAAACCAACAGAATGTTTTTTTTTAATCCACTAAATAGATTTCAAGTGGATTTAAACAGAAGTTGTGAAAAGTCATATAGTTCATTTTCTTTGGAAAGCAGAAGTTGAAATGTTTGGACATGCTGCAGAAAAGGATCCTTGCTGTGAGTGAAAGCAGTGGTGTTTCTACAAAGATCTGATGAACATCCTGGTGAGTCAAAACAAGAGCTCTTTGATCAGCAAAACACATACTCCCTGCTGATTGGATAGCTCCGACTCTGTACCTGACCGGTCAGACTTTTCCAGAGACCACTGCTTCCATACAGAGAGACTGGGTCGTTCTCTCCAACATGCTGTCAGGGGACAGGTTTCTCTACTCATCTTTCTGGCTATCTTATCTGACAGAATTATGAAGCATTTGTCTCTCTCCAGAGATGGACCTCTATAATTCCTAAAAATAGTTTAATTGACATGTTCAGTTCATAAAAAAACTATTTTCAGCATTGGTACCACACAGGAACTGACTAACTAATTATGAACCTCGGTGACAGTATGATTATGAATTTATATTATTGCATCTCCAAACAAACACAAAACACATCAAAAAGGTATGGAAACCTGCAAATATATTAGGGAAATAAAGTAACAGTTTGGTATACAAGGGACAAAAGAGGCTGTGCATTACAGCAGCTGCTATTGACTAGAGCAGTCAAAGTCTCACTACATAAAACAAAATTAGAAACACTTATCTATATAAAAAGCATGGCAAAAATAAAATGGGATTTGCCACTCATAATACCAGCATAGCCACAAATAGGACTCATTTTTTTTTAGCTTCCCATGTCATCTGTCTGCTCACTGGACAATGAATCATCAGTGTCATTATATGGATTCATGATCTAATGAGCAAGCTGTACATAGAGATGTGACACGGGAAGCTACAAAACTGAATCTGGAAATAGTGGAGTTGTCTTCTTGGCGGTACACAGTGGGTAGAGGTATGGGACTACCCTTGGCAAGCAAAAAAAAAACATTTCAACAAATATAAATTTCAACAACATATTTATCTACTTGCCTGAAGTTACACTATGCATAAATCAACATTCATAAAACACTTAGAGAACTATGGGGTCCGGGCTTTTCCCCAAAGTTCTCCTTAGGGTAACGGGAGGACACAAACTAGCGTCCTCCAGTCACCCTAAGCTCAGTATACCGCGAGCTGTAGCTCGCGGCATACTGAGACGCCGCAGTATACCGCGGGCTACAGCTCGTGGTATACTGAGACGCCGCAGCTGAAGCGGATCCCAAAAATTATGTCTGGATCCGCCCAGCTGCGTGAGTGACAGCTGGCTCTGCCTATCTAGGAGGCAGAGCCAGCTGTACCCGCCCCCTCCCCTGTCCGTTCCACCAGTCAGCTCTGGAGGATCGGAGCGGGGAGGGGGGAATCCAGTCCCTCCCCTGTCACAGCAGAGAGACGTGACAGGATCGAGAAGTGAGTGAACGCCGGTATGTGTTCGCTCACTTCCCGATCTACTGAGCCGACCTGTGACAGTCTCATTGTCACAGGTCGGCTAGAACTATGAGGCGAGTGAAAAGCACTTACCTCATAGTTCTCCTTTAATCCCTGATATTTCCTCAGTGATCTGTCATTTCCTTCAGATCCGATCTAAATACCCGCTGAATAACTGTCTATCATGTCCCCAAGGTTTTGATATTGAAAACACAATATACAGTTTTTCTTGGTTCTCTGCTTCCCAACAAATGGAGAGAAGCAACTGTTTATGGTTTGCGTAGTGTTTAGGTGAAACACAGCCCCTAAGGGTCACTAACTATGGATTATGAGAAATTCTTGTGAACCAAGCTTTCAAGGTGCCAATTCTCGGTTAGAAGTACCTGTAAATAGGTGAGCAATAACACTTTTCAGGTAATCCAAAACAGGGAGAGAGGAAAAGGTTAAAAATCCCTACAGGGTCACACAATAGACCCCTCATTTCCGGATTCTGGGTTGCAGTTGTAGGAAGCCCCAGCTCCCACAGTAGTGATTAGCTCGTCAGATTTTCACTTTTGCTAAAACATTGACTAAGTGACGCTAGGGATCTTCCTGGGTTTTGCCAACCAACATTTCCTACTATGTACGTTCTTATACTGGTTCTGTACGTTTAGAACGGGTTCCTCTGTATACAACGTTTATACCATAATCTCATTCTAAAATACATATTAATGCAGACAGTGCCGCGTTAAATGTGTTGAAGGCTGACTTTTTTTTTTTATCTCTGCTTAAAATTCTCAAAGCTGAATTTAATCCAGCAGAAGGGAAAGAAAAAAAAAAAATATGAATCAGTGATTAATCAGGGAACCCATTTAGATTCCACAAGCATACGGGCTTCTCTGAGACTCCAACCACTGCAAGCCACGGCTCTCCTCCTTTCTATCCAATACACCCACACAAAGGCACGCAGCTCTGCACCACTGAATGAAGGTTTACATTAATAACCTCTATGGAGTTTGCTATGAATGAAAAGACGTCAGAGCTGATCCTGTACAGACTGAGGAGGGGTGCTCCATCGCATATTAAACATTCGGGTACATCTTGCCATGATAAGGCAGCTCCACACACTGTGCTGCATGGGTATTGCAGAAAATCCTAAATAAGCTTTACAAAGAAGATGCTACAGTCACTGTATTTTATATTTTAATCTATTTACAGCCATTTATATTGAACATATTAATAACACATCATCTTGACATTAAGTATAGATATATCATCTCCAATGGCAAATTCTTTAATGTACTTGAACCTAGTGGAACATATATCTCAAAAAGGCATAGAATATAATCTCCATTCAAGGAGCTACTGATCTCAAAGAATGGTATTCGTACCGGGTCCTCGATGTTAACTGGCCATTGGGCATATCAATAGATAAATGAACAAGAGAATGACAAGAATAAAGACTCCAGGTCCAGTCTGGCATTCAAAAAGGAGGACAGTAAAGCTGACCATACACTGTTACATTTTTTTTTTTCAACCTGTAGGCTGAACAAAAAATAAAAATAAATAACAGATTCCTGCTTCCATGTTAAACAGCATGGATGGACAAATCTCCTGCTGAGCTATTGCAATTGAACAGCAGCCGGCGTTCCCTCTGGGTCAGTTTGGGGCAATAAGTGTCACCGGAATGCCCATGATCCTGATACTGTGAGGCAGGAGTTTCAGAGGAGGAAAGGCATGGATCAGTCCTACAGATTCACCAGAGCATCCACTACTTAGAGGACAGACTCAGCTCAGTTTGTTTTTGAATCCTGAAGCCAGGAGAGCCCCGTCAGGCAATCCCCACTTGCAGCAGAGGTCATGATACACCTCCAGATGGAGAGACTATTGCCCCGAGTTCAGACTTTGTCAATTGAGGAAGTCTGCCCGGCAATCAGCCACTCCTGGAATGTGCACAGCAGACAGGGTTGGAACATAAGTTCCGCCCAGGCCGATATCTGGTCAGCTTCTCTTTGAGCTGCAAGACTGCCATGATATCTGACTTATGCTTGCAACTTCTGTGATCTAATTGTCCACACCCTCCTACAGAGTCTGTTTCTGATTTGCTACTGCTGTACATTCAGCTGAAGATGATGTGTAACCCTAACCTTTTTGCATGAGTTTGTACATGAGGAGGTTTAGCCAGGATACGATTGATCCTTGTAGATGCAGTTCACACATGCCCAGAACTGGAGCAACCTGCTTCTGAACTCCCTAAAGTTAACAGTTTGCGCTCTCTTAAGAGTCCCCCACCATTGGCATCAGTGGCAGCAATACATTTTCCTTTCATTGGTGTTCAGTCATAATTTACCACACTGCTTCCTCCCTCCTTCATCAAGCTGGAACTATGGTATGCCTGTCGGGCAAGAGATCAGTTCACCCAACAGGTATTGCCAACATCAGTCGAGTGCCGGAACTCAAAGAACGTTCCTGCAGTCGGCAAGCTGCTGCCACTTTGCATAGGCTGTAGGTGGGACCTACAAAAGGCCCCGTGGGCTGCCAGTTAGACCGACCTGTTGTATTACATAAACCTACTGAAAAGTAGTTCTCAGAAATGCAAGATCAAAGTCCAAGATCCACTAAAACTCATGCAATGCTAAAGCTTACTATAAATCTGTTTACATTGTATCCAGATAATCATATTGCTATATTCCCCACACAAAAACTGAGAATGGAAATACACCATTAAGAATTAAAAGGACAAGTATTGGTAGAGTAAAATATACTCTTCCTAATACTTGGAGCTGGCGCAGGATACTGCGCCTGTCACACCTTGGCTCTATATACTCCAAGATCCGAGTGATCACGAACCATTGCACGCTCAAGCTCAAGGCTTCTCCCTGCAGAGAGCGATGACTGTCAGTTACCTCTGCCTGCCCGCAGGGATTCCACCCTTCCCTTTCTGTTCCACCAGTGCTCATTGGAGGAAAACATAGGGTGGCCACAGCTAGTGTCAGAAAGGCAGAGCCAGTTAATCATGCTGCTGGGTGGATCCCGACAATATTGTTGGGATTCTTCCCTGCTGCAGTGCTGCTCTACGCGGTCAGCATATAGCGGGCTGACTTTGGGACACAGGACCACATTAGCAAATGTACTGCTTTGGCCCAAAAGAGGTCTTTTTTTTTTTTAAAGCACCAGTATGGCCATAGTTGGGTGATACACTATTGTCTCTATTGTCTCAATTTGCCCCTTTTTGCAGAACTATAGTCCTAATGTTAAAAACTGCTAGCATGTAGGTTATTATTACAGAAGAGACTCTCTATGTCACTTCTGCAATAAAAGCTGCTCTTCCCCTAATGTACACTGAGTCACACATGTATAGCTCAGTGTATTATCTCAGCATGCCTCAGTACCAGGATTAATTAAAAAGGATTACTAAAGGCTGGACGTTTTTTACCTTAAAAGAGAACTATAGGGTAAATGTTTTTCCCCATAGTTCTCTTTATGGTCACAGGAGGACATATACTAACCTCCTCCCGTGACCCAAAGCTCAGTATATCACAGGCAATACTGAGATGGATCCAGACAATACAGTCGAGATCCACCCAGCTGTGTGAGAGTGACAGCTGGCTCTGCCTATCTAGAGTCAGAGCCAGCTGTGCCCACCCCCTCCATTCAGCATCGGAGGACGGAGGGGGATCCCTGTGGGGAGCGGTGACCGACAGTCACCGCAGGGAGATGATCGGAAAGTGAGTGGATCAGCAGTATGTTTCTGCTCACCTCCCAATCAATAGAGCTGACCCTGTGACAGCTTCTTTGTCACGGGGCGGCTCTAACTATCAGGATGAGTGGAAATCACTCACCTCATAATTCTCCTTTAACCTCTTGCCGTCCGCCCGTAGTAAAAAAACAGACGGACGGCACTGCAGCATCTGCGGGTTGCCGTCTCCAGACGGCAATTTTTTTCTGCTCGCGCGCGCCCCCTAGCGGGCTGCACAATGGAAGTTACATCCGCCGGGAGCGGCAATAGCACACCGCCTTCCGGGACCTCGTCCACTCCTCCCCCAGCCAGGTAAGACATCCCCCGAAAATAAGACCTAGTGTCTTATTTCGTGCAAAAAAAAATAAAAAATAAAAAATAAGGCAGTGTCCTATTTTCGGGGAAACACGGTAGGTAGATGCCACAACACTGGAAAGGAGGCAAGTCCTCACATTTTTATTCCACTTTAACGGTTTTACCACATTACAGCTGACTGGTTGGAGGTGGGGCAGCATTATTATAACTGTACTGTATAGCTTTTCTGCAATTCGAATTACTAAAGTTCAGTGATTGTATTCTTGGGGTTCATTTTCCACAACCAACCTCTGAAGCAGAAGCATACTTTGGCAATATTTCGGGGGCCGGGGGGGGTTTACCTTTGTAATTTACTGTATTGCTTGTTTCTAGGTCTTTTGTAACCTTATGCAAATATTGTATAAACTGTACTTCCTCCGGTTTCAGATTATTAACTATAAAATGAAAAAAGTAGTTTCTTTTATTGCTGTACAATGAACATGAATTTGAAGAAGACAGAAGGACTATGCTATTGTAGGGGGTGACTGGTTTAACCAAACTGTAATCTGTTAGAGAAAACAGCACTTGTGTTTGCAAAACTAGTGTATGAGCCTGCTGTCTACTAGAGAGAATTATTCTCAAACTAGAAGTATTAAGAGCATGGGTCTCCTGGAAGCTCACACTTTGAGAAGGCAGGCTGTGTGTATGCGTTTTCCTCTTCATCAGTTACCACACTGCTTCCTCCATCAAGCTGGAACTATGGTATGCCTGTCGGCAAGAGATCAGTCCATCCAACAGGTAGTGCACTGCTGACATCAGTCAAGTGCCCAAACTCAAAGGGCGTTCCTGCAGTCGGCAACTTGCTGCCACTTTGCATAGACTGTAGGTGGGACTTCTGCAGACCGCAAAAAAGGCCTCATGGGCCACAAGTTAGACAGCCCTGTTGTATTACATAAATATACTGAAAAGTAGTTCTCAGAAATGCCACATCATTTCACAAACTCCATCAAGCTGGAGATTGTGTCCAGCGTTAAGTTGACCACATCCATTACAATTACTACATTCTGATTGTACTGTCTCTGCCTGGTGGAATATGAATTAAAAGGGATGTTACACAAACACATGCACTGTTTGCACAATCAAATAGCACTGTGTAATGCCAGGTTTAAAATCTGGATAAAGTGGACATTTTAGGTTTGCTCTAAGCCAGGGTAAGCCAAACTCCAGGCCCTCCAGCTGTGGTGAACTACAAATCCCGTGAGGCATTGCAAGATTCTCACAGCCACAGACATGACTCCCGGAGAGTGATGCATCAGGGGATTTGTAGTTTCACCACCGCTGTAGGGCTGGAGTTTGGCTACCCCTGCTCTAAACAGTCAATGTCATATACAGCCACCATATAATGTTATGAATGCACTGGATTATATGTGAGCCTACATACATTTGGTTATGTGAGCAATCCTAGATAAACTTAATACATTGTAGGGATGCATCAATACTAGAATCGGTGCAGATACCGAGTATTTGGGCGAGTACTCATACTCGCTCAAATGCTCCGATACCTTAACGTCAGAGGGAGATTCCCTCTGACCAGCAGTGCCACAAAGGAATATGGAGTGGCTTCCTGATAGGCCAGGAAGCTGGCTCCATGCTGATTGGCCGGGAAGCTGACTTCCCAGCCAATCATCAGCCAAACAGCCGGCTCGATGAGGATTGGCTGGGAAGCAGATGGGTTATGCAGTTACCTTCAAGTGATTGGACACTGGCAAATCTGTTACGACAGCCCTCTATAACCCCACCCGTTTCCCAGCCTGCTACAGTTTTGAAGCTTGAATGTCCATGTGGTAAAATTTGGCAAATGAGTGAATAGAGGACCAGAAGGCAGCTTTGCAAATTAACATTGTTAAACATGTATGCTAAGCAGGAGGTATGCCTTTACTGTAATCACATCGGCCGTCCCAGTGTTGTAATAAAAAAACAAAAACAAAAAAACGCTGCATCGTCTACTATTCCAGGAACCAAATACTGACAAATATATTTTCAGAATATAAAAAGCCAAGTGTGCAGTTAAGAACTGCTGGGGATGCAGCGAAACTTCAAGCTGTTTTGGGCAAAGGAATGTTAGTGTACACATTTCCGACACAAATACATTTTGCATGTACACAAACATTTTCAATGTCAATATGCAATTGCTAATCATATCGAGTATAAAATGACAAAACCACAAATGTCTTTGTACTCAAGTCCTTAATGCAAGTAATCTTCTGCATAACTATGCACAGCCCCATTTGCTGTACTCATCCCACAAAATGCTGCATATAACTTGATTTTTTTTTATTCCTTTTGCTTGCATGTTCTAATTTTTGGGGGAAAAAATGATTTATTTTTATATATATAGTAAATTCTCACCTCTCAGCAGGTCAGACAGCAGTGGCCCGCAGTCCTCAGGTATTGAGTAATCTCCCTTTCCAATATTTTCAAACAGTTTGTATATATTATCCCCTTCAAAGGGGTACAGCCCAGTAGTGATATTATACCTGTGCAAAGAGACTGGTTTTAAACAGAGCAATTTCTCAATAAAAATAGTACATTGGCGGGGTAGATAAGGATACAGTTAATAAACGGGGTGGGTATATGAATGGATTGTCCACAGGTAACTGAACATTGGCACACTCACAAGGTCACGCCTGCTGACCAGATATCCACTTTGAACCCTGAGAATGTGTCTAGGCCATTTGCAATCTCTGGAGGCTGGAAAGCAGGAGACCCCTGGCTGGTCTTGCACGTGTCACCCTCAGCAAATGGGTGTAAGGCCTGCGGAGAGAAAGGAGGTGACCCCATATTGCCTTACCCCACTGCAGGAGTGGCTTATCCTAGGAGTGACCCCCTGATCTCTCACAACCTACCTCTGCAACACCTAGATCTGAGATTTTAAGCGTCCCGTCTGTTGTAAGCAGCAAGTTCCCAGGTTTGATGTCTTTATGCACAATTCCCTGACTATGAAGATACTCCAGACCATCCACAAGCTGGCAGAAATAACTGAAATCAAAGAAAAGGAAAGATACGTTTTCAAAAATCAAACAATAACCACATTTAATAAAAAGCATCACTAGAAAAAGAAAGAATAAGATTTCATAAAAGTGATAATGAGCAATAAAAGAGACAACATGGTTTAAACGTATGTATAGCTAAACTTTTTTTAAGTTTTGGACAGAGTATGTAGGGATTAGAACCCCTATAATTTTTTTTCTCTGGACTGGGTCCAGAGAAAATCTTCAAACATGTTTGAATGACATCTGTGTAAGAGGGGAGCTCCCTTCACTTTGTACACATTTTTTACTATTGGACAGGACAGAAAGGGAATGTAAAATCTCCCCAACAACACAAAGCGAAAAAAAAAAACTGACAGGAGGGTTTAATTTTTACCTACTCTATCTAAAGCTGAAAATAAATAAATAAAAAAAAAAACAAAACACACACACACACACTAATAAATGTGTATGTATAATGTATACACACACTTATTTTTAATATATCATAATAAATAGGATTTTTGTACTCCTTGTAAAACGCTTTCCTTGGAGTCCATTGAGGGACACAGGAAGTCTAACCTCTAATGCACAAGTAGAGATTACCATCAGTGAAAACGGTGTCAAAATGATTAACAGATGTGCGTTTCAAGTAAAAAGTTTAATTTGGTCCCACCATGTAATGGGCATTCAATTTAACCAATAGAGATTTGAGAAGTGGGAAGAGGTGGGACCAAACTCAACTTCTATCAGCAAAATATATTTTCATTGACTGCAGGTCACAGCCCCCAGGTTCACCCAACTCAGCTAACAGTGGACGATGGTTGACAAGGCCAGAGTTCTGGATAGGCTACAGACACGGATAAATGGGAGATAAGCTGAAGGGCAAAGGCAGGCTGAAGACAAGGATTTCCAGGGACAAGTCAAAGGTTGGTAGACGGATAAATTACAGGGCTGAAGGGAGCTTCAACAGCAAACAGGGGCTCAGCGACTAGCTTGAAAAAGCATTGCTCGGGCAGCGAGCTGCACAGAGTTTAAATAGTGATTGAGCAATACGGAGGAACCACTGGATTGGCCAGAAGATGACAGCACTTGATTGGTTAAGAAGCTGCATAGGAAACAGGTGAGATTGGCAGATGCCTAAAGCTGCCAGACCAGTGCAAGTTAGGAACAGAGCATATGCCCGGGGGACTACAAGCAACAGAACAGCCCTGCATGCTTGTAGAATCATGGGTAGGAGGTATGCACACAGTTGTAATACCACAATGACAGCTTAGCTGCAACTCTGCAGCTTAACTGTGACAACCAGCTGGCAAACAGATATTACATGGTGGAAATCCAGGCGAAACCCAATTAAGCCAGACAACCCAAGGCACAGTGGTCTGATGGCTAATGCCCAGGCAAACTCACTGCCCAGGCGGAGTGAACTTAAATGTGAAGGAACCACCAAAACAAAGAACACACCAAAATAAAATAGGGGCGAGACCATAGAAGCCACAAAATCCAATGTACCCATCGCACTCCTGACCAAATAATACCCTTAAGAGTTGGGTGGGTGCCAAAGGGACTGCAGATGCCTCTGCAATCCAAGATAAGTGTATCTATAAAGTCACTCGCACTCCAATAGAATTTCAAGTCAAAAGCGGTTTATTGACTCGATTGCGATCACATCATATAGCGGCGTTTTGGAACAACAGCGGTTCCTTCTTCAGGTAAACAGAATGTAAGGTATGGGCCATTCATTCTGTTTGCCTGAAGGAACCGCTGTTCCAAAACGTCGCTATATGATGTGATCGCAATCGAGTCAAACCGTTTTTGATTTAAAAATCTATTGGAGTGCGAGTGACTTATACATACACTTACCATAGCAGCCACAACGCACCCCATATCTGATGAGCAGAAAATTCTCTAAGTATGGTAAGAGTTAGACCGGAGGAAACACAAGGAACGTTCCCAACAGCACTGAGTAAGTTATAGGAAGTCGGATGAGACCAATCTTTAAGCTCCAAAGAAAATACAAAAAAGGGTAACAAACTAAATCCCCGACAACAAAACAAAAACAGACATCGGCCAAGGAGCCAGAACTAAAAAGGTGGTCAAGACCGACAGCTGGATCCTGAAATACAGAACATTAAACAACTCCCAGGAAAAAGAAAATGAATTCTCTCTACCACCAAGGGGCAGAGAGACAGTCTTCTAACAGGTATCACCTAAAATTACGATAATGTGAGTGAAGACAAACCCACAACTCCAAAATTCAACCAGGAAGCCAGCAATTGGGAGTACCATCAGTCCTTGTAACTCAAGGTCTGGCCAATCTAACCGAGACTACAAACTAGCAGCAAAGGGAGCCAGCCAGTACATAAAGTTCACCCAAACTAATCCAGAGCTTGCAGATCAACTAAAACGATCTCCAACTCGATTCCCTGAAGACTTCAAGCCAAATTTCTGCTGGAGAGGATGTGGTTTGGAAAAAACTGATCCCACATTGTCACATGATAGCGACCACCACAGACACTGAATCTCAGAAGATAACAAAAAGCCCATCCTGCCGAACAAGCAGCTGTACCATCAAGCTCATAACCAGCATCCACCAAAGGAAAAAAAAAAAAACAAACGAAAAAAACCAAACACATCTCCCAATGGTGAGACTAAATCCAAACAGCAGTGGTAGGGCAATATTGTCAGTCCAGTACCCAAAACAGGAATGTGGACCAGATGCGGTCCAATGGTAGCAATAGGGAACAACTGTCAGTTCGGTATCCACACCAGGAATGTGGATTGCAGTCGAGAAACATGGATTCCTAGAAGCTCAGGCCAGAGAAAACGCTACCGCCCTGAACATCGTAATATTTCATATTCTTCCACAGGAGACTTGTGTCTAGTGCTTAAGTTCTTGCAGGTGGCAGGAAAACCAATGGTACACAAAACACTGCTACTCAATGGACAATAAAGGGTAGTTGAGATTTGCATATGGCTTCAACTTGCTATACCTACTAAGGATTCCAACATGCAGCTTTCATCAAAAGGTGACTTCTACTTGTATATGGTTTTCAACATATGCTCCGTTTGAATTGCTGTTTTGCTAACAGTCAACTTTGATTTCAGCCTTCTAATGCTTTTGTTTTATGTTCATAAGCTCTTGCTATGCAAGCACCCTGCAGTGAATTTACTTTCTGCTCAGCAAACTATGGGTTGGATCACAAAGATTGTACAATTGTACACAAAGCTTTCTCCAGCTTTTAAAAACAATTTAACCCCTTCATGACTGAGTTTCTGTTCGTAAATGACTGACACACGTTTGACATTTTTTCTGTGTGATTCTTCCACGTCAATAATATACTTTGTTACAAAGTGCACCCACACATATTATATATTGTTTTTTAGAGGACAGATAGGGATATATATTTATATCACATATGTGTGTCTAAAGCCTCACTTAGGACAAAATAAAGGATATAAAAATAAAGGATTATATTTTAAGGATAAAATATAAAAAATAAAAAAAAAACGGAGAAAAAAAAAACTTTTCCCAGTTTTGATTTGTAGTATTTTTTTTACAAAACCAGCACAGCTAAAAAAAAAAAATGCAATAAATACATTCATTTATCCCTTATTTTTTTTTTTACACTTTTCACTTTTTTTTCCAACTTAAACATTTTATTTTATTTAATTATATCAAGCAGTCATTGTGAATTAATCTCACTATTACTGCTTGATAAATTAATACATTTTTGGTTATTATCAGGCTGCTTCAAACTTTCAGAACAGCTGATAAGTTAGTGACACTGATCCTGCAGCAGTTCAGGATTCAGCAGTCACTAAGGTTTTCTGATTGTTTTCTGATTGTTGCAACAATGATCAGCAAACTGAAACATCCTTCTTTCAGGGATACATAATGTATCTATTCCTGAAAGTGAAAAAAAAAAAAGCCAGTATAGCTTGAGAGAGATATCTCTTAATCTATACGAGCTGTCAGACAGCTCTCATTAATATAACATGGGTGCAAAAAATGAAAAAAGGGCCTCAGTCATGAAGGGGTTAATGAATTATAACCGCTGACCAGCCTTCTAATGCAGCAAATAACTCGTCACGTACAGTGTACGTGACGAGTCATTTGGTCCCTTTGTGGCGGGACGTACAGTGTACGTCTCCCGTCACGAAGGGGTTGAATGGTAGTTTCAAGGTATTCTCAAAGCACAAATGTATTTTGTCCATTTAAGGCAATGGCAAAGGATTTGCATTAACCCCCCAAAAAGGGTCAGGCCAAGGGATAGGCAAAGGAGGTGGCTGCCTAGGGCGCTTCAGCAAGAGGAGGCGCCTAAATGGCATGATCTGAAACCTTTACCACTGAAGTAGTTCACAGAATATGGAGGGGTGCTAAAAGGACCTTGGCCCAGTACTGCCCCAACCCAGCAAGACGGTCACAAAAGGAATCCAAAGCCCTGTGTGAGCTACAACTCTGATGACTTACACAGGGTTTTCCTTTGACTCCTGGAGTCTGATTGCATTAAAGCAAAGCTGTTGTTTTGCATGGGCATAGAATAGATTCACTATAAATTCTAAAACCCAAGAGTGGTATATCAAAGCATACTGCAATGATCAGTAAAATATCAAAGAACAAAAAGGACTTACCCATGCGCCTGAAAGATTGGGAATCTCTTCTCTGGTACACTATCCAGCATTTCCTGCATTCCACACACACAGTACTCCATAACCATATACGTATATTTAAAATTAAGGAACAACAAACATAGTTTTAAAGCAATTAAAGACTAGCCTTTCCTGCAAGAACTTTTAGAACTCTTTTCTCAGCTACATTTTCCTGCCAAAATCTAGCTTTGGTAACAGAGATTACTGCAGGGCACGTTGCATGACAGAACAGGTCCACACATCTGCAAACCAAAAAAGCACAACCACTCTGATATGTAATGTGCCCTGAAGTAATCTCCGTTCATCACAGAGATAAAAGATAAGCAAGTGTGACAGCTTGGTGTAAGGGTACTATTACGTGTATAGCTTGAACTCAGTTATTCTTATTGCCATAAGCCCTTTACAACAAGTTTATTGATAGCAGGGCTGCTTTGGTCAAAGAGAATTTAAATATCTTTTGATTAAAAAAAATGTATGCAAGTTACATTTTCAGCTTTATTTGCTAAAACGGTCTACAAGTCCTGGTCAGTGACACTAAACCAAAAATCTGGTAGATGAAGACTAGAACACTAAAAGGGACATATTTATAAAGCAGTGAATGTGACTGTCACCAAACATTCACCAGGGGTGAGTAATTACTATCGCCCATGACATGCAGTTCATGGCATGTGTTTTTTCTTCTACATTTGGTCCTGCTTCAGGCAACCAGGGCTAAATGTAAAACGGGGAAGCCGCAGCTCATTTTGTACAAGTGAACTGTACCGCCGCCCAGTATATCAGCCTGTTTGTAAGTGTCCGCCCTCCCTGCCCCCCCAAGGTCCATCCCCTCACTCCCCACTGTGGCTTTTGGGGTCTCTTGCTCTTCTGGGGGACCTGGAACCTGGTCAATGATTTAAGAATGGAGAGCAGGGAGCAGAGTGTCTGTTCTCTGATCTGAGTAAAAATACAATAATAAAAAAATATATATATATTAACCCCTTCATGACTGAGGCCTTTTTTGCACCCATGTTATATTCCACATTTTAGGCCTGAAAATGACTTAAAACCCCCAAACATTATATATTTTCTGAATGCCAAGACCCTATAGAATAAAATGGTGGTAGTTGCAAATTTTTATGTTCCGCAATATTAGCGCAACTCCTTATTAAACCCCAACATTTACTGAAAAATGTAATTAAATGCCCCAAAACACAACAAAATACCAATTTTTTTAATGAAATATAAAAGATGAGGTTACAACGAGTAAAACGATACCCAATCCGGTGTGCGCGGCGATACCCAACATGTGTAGCGCGTTCGTCGTTTTCATACGTAGGCGCACCCGACGCGTGTTTACGTGGCGACGAGCGTGCTCACGGGGGCAGGGGACTTACATTTTTTTTTCTTTATTAGATTTATTTTAAAAAAACTTTTTTTTTCCCCTTCTACGGGACACAGAAGCAATCTGGCGACAGGTAAGTCGTCAGAATCGCTTCTGTTAAACAGAGTCCCGGCGTCAATAGCCCCGATGCTGTCAGTCACCTGATTGCAATTAAACGCACTCGAGAGGGCATTGTGTGTGCATGCACGTCGAGTGCTGCCCCCATTCCACTGTGTGCCATTGTGGAAGCCATAAAAAAAAATCCTAAAAATAAATAAATATTAAAACAAATCCTGCCATCTGCATGCGAATAAACGCATGGGTAGGGCATTGCGTGTGTGTGTTGCCCTCATTGCACTGGGTGCCATTGTGGTAGCTGGGCAGCAGCGCTCTCTAACATGCAGTGTGCTTTAAAGGGCAAGTTCATTTTCCCCAAGTAATCTAGGAAAATGGAATTACCACCTTAAATCTGACCCCCTCTCCCCCCGCGCTATACTTACCTTTCTGTGAAATGGTCCTTCCCCTCTGCCAGTATGGGTGTACTATCTGTACCCCATACTGCCGTCCAAAACAGCCCTGCGCTATGGATTTTGAATTTCGTTGGTAAATTGCAAGCACTCGGTCATTGTGGTCAGGTGACTGTGCTGAAAAATGAGAAGTGCTTCTTAGGACGGTTAAAATACGGTTTTGGTTAAAATTATTTTTTGTATCATGAAAAGTAGATTGGGCCCCCACTTTAGTCCTTGGACAAGTAGTTTTGTTTAAAATTGCCACACCACTGTTCACTGATTGTGAATAATTCACCCATTTAGAACATGCCCCTAGATTATTTATGTGCATTGAATGTTTGGTGAACGTCAGTGTCACTGCTTTATATTTTTATATTATAATACTATGTGCTTGATTAGAACAGCTGATTGTTTTAAGTAATGCTCAAATCAAAAAGGAGCACTTGTAATAAATGCTGAATTCAAGAGGAACGCTCATAATAACTGGGCTCCCTTGCAAATCAGAGATATTCACGCACACAAAGACCTGCCAAAGGCTGTGCTGGTCCTATCCTTACCCCATTTTGGTAAAAATACCACAACGGTGATATCATCACTCGCCAAGTAAAAAAAAAAAGGCAGCACCTCTTGGCAGTGGAGTAGTCAAAAGGCAAGCATATAACCTGCCCTACATCAGGGCTAGACAAATCCCAGGAACCAGGTAGCCGATGCTCCTTAAAAAAGGACAGCTGGCTCCTATGTTTTGAGTTTTTTTTTCTAGGTGTTGTCAATGGAGCTAGCTCCTAAAAAAACCTGCTTGCTCCTGGGTTTCATATTAATATCAGTGAGATATCTGTCAATCTATGACAATTCTTAGGCAGAGTTTTTCTTCCGACAAAAGTCTATTTAATAACTAACTAATACAAACATTTTTTTATTTATGCTAAACAAGCCTAAATTACTTTTAAATGGAAATAAACTACAAACATCAGCTGACACTAGTGACATTATCAACAGGAAACTGACACTCAAAAGGATATATCTTTTGCTTTTCTTCATTGTACAAAACATCTACAAGCTGGATCACATTGCGATGCCTCAAGCGCCTCAGTAGCTGGATTTCTCTGTATAAAAAGGAAAAAATAAAAAGACAAGAACTAGCAGTACTAACATAATGTACAGAAGGGAAATAGACAAGATAGAAAGGATGTTGAAATACACAAAGCAGCAGGAAGTAACAACTGTTAACACCTTTGTTTTATACAAGAGAACAGAGCCATATTTTAAAGTACATACTTCTTCAGGTTTCTCTGATGCTACTTGTGACAGGTACCTCTGACAGGAAAAGGACTTCAGCACCAATGTACTGGAAGCTTGCAATTAAAAAAGGAGAACTATGGGGTTAAGGCTTTTCCACATAGTTCTCCTTAGGGTAATGGGACACAAACTAGCGTCCTCCCGTCACCCTAGGCTCAGTATATCACGAGCTGTAGCTCGCGGTATACTGAGACGCCACAGCTGAAGCGGATCCCGACAATTAATGTCTGGATCCGCTCAGCTGCGTGACTGACAGCTGGCTCTGCCTATCTAGAGGCAGAGGCAGCTGTACCCGCCCAGTCCGTTCCGCCAGTCAGCGCTGGAGGATCGGAGAGAGGGGAATACAGCCCCTCCCCAGTCACGGCAGGGAGCTGTGACAGGATCAAGAGGTGAGCGAACGCCGGTATGTGTTCTCTCACCTCCCGATCTACTGAGCCGACCTGTGACAGTATCATTGTAAGAGGTCGGCTAGAACTATGAGGTGAGTGAAAAGCACTCACCTCATATAGTTCTCCTTTAAACGAAAAGTTTTGGAACAGAATATCAAAGTCGATTATACACTTCTGCAATTGTATCAGTTTGCCAAATTAGGTCAACTCTTCAGAAAGCCAATATGGACCTAAATTTGCTTAATGGAGGAGATCAAGGAAAATGTTGAACCATGGAGGTCATTTCTGGATAGAACACTTTCTTATTAACTTTATCCAGTATAAAACAACATTATGCAAATGCAGTAAACACAATCATAGACGTTAGTGAATCTGAGGTTATAACGTACTTATCTGCGAGCCCGGATTCACTGCCACTTCAAAGTCATATTAACTGACTAAGTCAGCATCTCCCTTTAAAAAAAACCTGACCTTACAGAAATACAAGGCTGCCACTGCTGACATTTTCAAGTCACCGACTCAGAACAAGTATGTACAAACTGACTAAATTGATCCATATAAAATTGTTCTAGGTCAGTATCTCAGAAAGTATTGAAGCCAGTAGGTCAACAAACTCATTTTCAGAAGGTGGCCAACAATGGCAGCCTTCATATTTTTCCCCGACAAAAAGATATATCTTGCCAGCAAAAGGATCACTAAAAGCTCACATACATAAAAGCTGGTAACATCATTTGAGATTTCAGTTCAGTCCACAGAAGTTTTTTTTTTTTAGCAAGCACAGATAATACCTTACAGTATTTACCAATGTTTTCTTTCTAGCTTAAACTACTAAGCTAGGAGGAACAAAAGGCAGACATGTTTGTGGTCCAGCTTATGCAATAACCATGACTTTCTCCAACTAGACACAAAGGGACTGGTAGAAAACTATTGGCAGCATTACCAAGTGAAAAATAGAAAAAAGCCTGAAAATAAGAAAACTTATGCAGCCATCACAGCGAAGAATTGCTAAGCTGAAATATATTAAAGTGACACTACACTATATGGAAAGGTCCAGTATACTTGTGCAACAAAGTCAGTCACTTGGAAGTCTCAGAAAGTTCAAACAGCAACTCCAAAAATAATCAGCACTATTTCTTATAATTATTACAATTAGACAAAATGGATCAAAAGGTAGGCAACCTCGACACTCCCAACTGTGGTAAAACAACAAATGCCCCTGCCTCTGGGAGTTAGGCCTGTGGCTATAAGTGTCTTGCAATGTCTCATGGGACTTACAGTTTCACAACAATGGGAGTGTTGGAGTGTAAGTAATTTAAAGTTGTACAGCAAGGCACATTAGAACACATTAAATAATCTCGCAAACACGCCCAACCATAAAGTAAATGGCAACAAATATCAAACTACACAGGCCTGAAATGAAACCTGTAATCAAAGAACTGCAACTGTCAACACAGACTTCCGCTGCTGACCTCACCGTATATAAATGCCTGGCTGTCATGTTTACCCACTTAAAGCAATAGTTTTTGGTCGCTGATCCTGAATAAGCAGATACATAATGCTCACATTCCTAATCTTCATACTTGTTTAGGGTGGGGAAGGTAAGACACTTTACAACAGATGCACAAAATAAAATTGCTTTAAATGAATCTAAACCCAGGAACAAAACGTAATATATTGCAGCTTACCAATCCTTAGCTATGGTAGCTGCATTGGTTCTCTTTATTTAGTTTTTTTCCCCCCTTTAGTTTCCTGACAGTAACACACTCATTGCTCTAGGGCAGGGGTGGGCATTTCATTTTCTCAAGGGGCCACATTAGAAACTCGGACTGTTGTGGAGGGCCATGCACTACTATTTTCACCACAACGCACGGTATTGCATTACCACGCATTGAGGTGCAGTTAAATCGTACTTGGCTGGGAGGTGCATTTGGGATGCCATTCAAATTAATGGCAACGCAGCGCACTTGCTGCACCGTGCAGTACCGTGCAAATAATGCCCAGCAGTCCTAGCCACCAATTACTGCAGTGGAGGAGGACCACAGCAGTCCTAGCCACAGATGACTGCAGAGGACCATGGTCCGGGCACAGACTGATCGCTGACTAGCGCTGGGCTATGAATTGCAGTGGATGTACTGCATCCACTGTCAGCCAGCCATAACTGAGCGCAGGGTGGCAATTGGTACGCGTCAGAACCGCGGGCTGGACAGAGATGGACAAAAGGGTCCGATACGGACCGCGGGCTGTAAAATGCCCAGGTCTGCCCTAGGGTGAAAATGCTTACTCATCATACTCTATTTCTGGAGGGACAGCACAAAGAAAAGACGTATGTTAGGACTGTAAAGCACATAGCAGTGGGAAAGTATTCTACAGTTCACAGAGAGATCCTGGAACAATGCTAACTGATGAAAGTGCAGCACCACGTATCAAACAAATTAGGGATGCACAGATAACAGTTCAGATACTAGTGCCGAAACCTGGCATATTCCTGAGAACTATACCAGGGTCGCAGCGGTGGCAGTTGCAACAGGGCCCTGGCGCTCCAACACTTTCCTGAAATCATTAGTCGGTAGTGTTTTAGAAAAACCTGTCACGACACTAATGACGATGCTCTTGTTAGGCCGGAGGAAAGACAATAAACTGAGGTAGTGGGGCAGTACCGCCCCTTTTATTTTAATTGTGGATGATGCGTTTCTTGTTTTTAGGTGGATGGATCCTATCTCTCAGGTGCTGCCCTGGAAGATATCTTGAGAAAATGTATCGTAATTGGTATCTGTGAGTACTTGGACAAGGATCAGTACTAGGTCTGGAATAAATGGTATTGGTGCATTCATAAATATATAACAAATCATAGATTAAAACAGGGATGAACAAACCCCAGGAGCCCCGTATGCTCCTTATCAATGACAGCTGCCTCCTAACTTGAATTTTTCTCTAGTCTAGTAGCTGGAAAATTATTCGTACTTGTACCAAGTACAGTACTTGGTATCTGTGCATCCCTAAAACTAATTATATTAAAACAGACCTAAAAGGAGGCAAGAGACGTACTTGCCATCATTAGTACCTACATACACTTTAAGAAAACTGTGGGACCAAATATACTAAAAAATACACTAAGGGCCCATTCACACCTATCCATTGCACTGTGGTAACGTGCACAGCAATACACCATACACACGTGAGCATATTGCGGTGCAATTAACTTTTTAATGGAACCCAACTTACGAAGGCAATCCACCTCCAATGTGCATGCACTGCACCAAAATGTGCTTTGTAATGCGCTGCAACAGAAATAATGGTGCTTGTCTGATTTCTGGACCATTTTGGTGCATTGGCATCCCATCCAAACAAAAAGGCAGCCTTAAAGGAGAACTATGGGGTTAGGGCTTTTCCCCATAGTTCTCCTTAGGGTAATGGGAGGACACAAACTAGCGTCCTCCCGTCACCCTAGGCTCAGTATACCGCGAGCTACAGCTCACGGTATACTGAGAAGCCACAGTATACCGCGAGCTGCTGCTCGCAGTATACTGAGCCGCCGCAGCGGATCCCGACAATTGTGCCGGGATCCTCTCAGCTGCGTGACTGACAGCTGGCTCTGCCTATCCAGAGGCAGAGCCAGCTGTACCCGCCCCCTCCCCCGTCCGTTCCGCCAGGCAGCACTGGCGGATCGGAGCGGGGGGAATCCAGCCCCTCCCCTGTAACGGCAGAGAGCCTTGACAGGATCGAGAGGTGACCGAACGCCGGTATGTGTTCGCTCACCTCCCGATCTACTGAGCCGACCTGTGACAGTCTCATTGTCACAGGTCGGCTAGAACTATGAGGTGAGTGGAAACACTCACCTCATAGTTCATAGTTCTCCTTTAATGCAATGCATATTAGTGCAACATGACAAACCACCTGGATGGGCCCTAAATGCAGGGCTGGACAAATCCCAGAGGCCAGTTAGCCAATGTTCCCAAAAAATTACATCGGGCACCTAACCTTTGAGATTTCCTCTAGTTGTTGTCAATGGAGCAGACCCCTAGAAAAAATTCTGCTGGCTCCTGTATTGGACAGACTGGATTCTGAATTCCATATTACTTTTTCCACCCCTGCCTTAGAGTTTACATACATTTTGAGGTTGAGGGTCCAAGGTCACCAGAAGTGTGACAGTAGCTGGTCTATTAACTGCTTGACCGTACAAAAAACCTCCCATCACAGGCAAATGATGAAAGGTGGCAACTGTCAATCTCCAGATGCTGGTAGCTAGTTTTAGGTCAGGGTAGGCAAACAGCTGTGGTGAAACTACAAATCCATTCATGCATCTAGGAATCACATCTGTGACTGTCAGTCTTGCAATGCCTAATGGGATCTGTAGTTGCACCACAGCTGGAGTGCTAGAGTTTGCCCACCACTGTTTTCGTTGTATGTCTCTTCTGCCTACAAAATTATTTCCCGTTTCGTGAGCAGTTTTTAAAAGTACTATTAAACAAACTGTTTTTCAGTACGGAGCCAGATGAAACAAATATACATTGCTCAGCAAAGCATTGCTTTACATTTTGCCCAAGCATTTACAGTTGTCAAGTTTCCAAACAGCTGACTCCAACTTTCTTGACTCAGCTTCCCTGAGCGCCCTGTCCAGTACAAGATCACAAAGAACAGCACAGTCTCCAGCAGCTATCCCTCTACTAGCTTGGAGCAGAGAAGAGAAAGAAGGGGGAACAGGGGAGTGGTTTGCCTTTCTCTGTGTGTTTGTAGAGACACAGGCAGCTTACTAACACATAGAAGGGTGGCTTCATAGGACCCTACAAGGGAAAGGAGTCACTCTAAAACAGGACATCAAGACCAGTGCTCAGCGGACCAGCTGATTCTGCAGGAAATTAAGACTTTAAACTCTAAGAAGCAGGATCTATTGTTAGCGATTTAATCAGCATTTCAAATAGCTTAAAAGCCTTTTGACTTTAATATCACTAAGTCATGGCTTAACAAATTTTCTTTGAATCCAGGAGCCAGCTAAAAAAAGTTAGGAGCCAGGTTTTTTTCACGAGGATGTTTTGCGGAGAATGGTGGATCTTAATTTTCTTTTTTTTTGGTATTTCTAATTTTATTTCACTTTATTTTTTAACCTTTTTTTTTTCTCTCATTGGAGAGGACAGGTTCTCTTTAAGGTGACATGGAGGGGGGTCTATTAGACTCCTAGTGTCACCTTTCCCCTTCAATAGCTTTAGCTGGGAAATGATAGCTGCTTGCTGAGGCAGATGAATGTAAACACAGCAGGCAGTGGCTGGTAGCAATAGCCAGCCTGCTTTGGCTACTGCACTTTAAAATAGCCAATAGCAGGCTGGCTATTGCTGTCATCTACAGCGATGTGGGTCCCCTCTGACAAACCGCTGCAGCCGATTACAGCCCGTGAGGAGAGACCACTGAGTCTGAAGCGGGGAGGAGAACAGCAGAGTAATTGCGGCGGCAGCGGCCGTGGAAGAAACGGAGGTGCAATGAACGGGCTTTTCTCTGGCCTGGTTATGTGTCTTTCTAAAAATGGCCATTAGTAAAAAGGCTGGGCTTGGTGTGAACCCAGTTCGTCTGAGTTCGCCCAAGCCCGCTAAAAACTGTGACTGCCACCCCCAACTTCCAACCCAATAAGTGTCGGCAGTTGCAGTTACACAGTATTTGAGGTTGAATAAAGACATAAGTCCATCAAGTCCAACCTATAAAAAAAGTCCAACTCAGTGTTTTGGGCAGTGTGGCAATTGCAGGGACATGCCCTTCCCCTTTGAGATGCATAGGTGGGGAATGTGCCTCTCCACAAGTGCTTGGGTTGGAATTCCTACACTTGATTCCTCCAGCCATGCTGGGCTATTGTATTCCGACAGCACCGCATGTGCTGCTTGATTCGCTGCACTCAATTTTTAGCTTGGAATCCCTTTTGCCAAACCTTCTTTTACACTGTGGAGGGGGGGTAAGATGTTATATATTTGTAATGCCGCTTGTTGTCCCTGCACATATTAAAAGGAGCCAACATTTACACAGTACAGTTATTCACTAAAATCTCAAGTTAACATGTTAGTCATTTCAAAAGTATTTTTCAATATTTTCACATGTGCATTCATATAATACCTAGTGATCCTGTCATGAAGGTATTACTACCTGTTTTAGGGTGACAACTCTTCCTAACTGTTCCCGTGTGGTCACCTTCTCATACAGGCTTCCAATGGAGACTACAAGTGGTCTAGTCAATACATAGGCATGGTCCACTGTTGTCACCATAGCTGGAGCACATGCTTGAAAATTAAAAGTACCAGCAGAAGATCAGTCGTGTTATGACGCGACACAGAATTTTACATTTTAGTTTAACTTTAAAAACCTGTACTTGATCATGGCACACATTGCTTTGGATAACCGCATGCCATTCTGTTAGCGTTTCCATCGAGTTTGACCTGCTTGGAAAGGCACAAAAAGAAAAACCAATTAGCACTTTTCAGAAACACTCACTTCTTAACATTCGCCTCTCCATTGGGGATCCTACGCAGTTTTTTCTTCTTGAGAATTTTCACAGCACGGCGACACAGTGTATCAGAGTCCAGCATCTCTTTTACCTTTCCATAGGATCCCTCTCCCAGCAAGTCACCCATTAGATACTTCCCCACCAACTTTGCACGTTTCCGTCGCGGTTGGTAGATAACCTCAGTGGAGTCAATGCGGTGAATAAACGTGTCCATGCCCACAGACAAGTCTTCCAAAAACTCCATTTCTTTACACTCCCCCTCATCCATAATTAGGTTGGCACTAGCCTGACCCCCTTCAGTAGTGTCACAGCAAAGAAGTCACACCCTGATAAATTAGCTTAGGGATCCCCAGCCCAGGCTCGTTATGTCACAAAATACTCACAAGATACCCCAATGACAGCAAAGTCAGAGTACGAGCATCTGATGTGCAGAATGGTGACCACTGGACGGTGTTTCAGCTTGCGATGTCACTGCAGCCAGGAGCCTAAATGAAACAGTGGACGAACCTGTCACTTGTTTCCGGCGATGACAGTGCCAGCCGCCCCCTAGTCCAACCGCATAGTAACCTACTGTCCCGGATGAGCAGCATTTCCCGGGACACGAGCAATTTATAAAGACCGATCCCGCAAAAATGTTATCCCGGTTTCTAAACTGTCATGGGCCACCGCGCCTGCGCTTCACTCAATGTAAATAGAGCATGTGCAGTGCTCAGCTATTCGCGCATGCGCGCGACGCTTGTTGTAGCAAGCCGCAACGCATCCTGCTGCCCGCGATGTGCCTGAACAGAAACATTGCCATGTGACGTGACAGATTAAGCACGGCAGTTGGAATTTGTTATTGTGCTGGATCCTGTGATCTGCTGTCCACAAATCCGCTGCGAATGGAAGGGATGAGAAAAAAAAAGAAATCAGGGTAAAAGACAGCCCGGGGGTCCTTCTGTCAGAGCTAGGGGCGGAGCCAAGCAGAGCTCCAGAAACAGCTGCCTGAGCTCGCTGTTACCATAGTGGGTTGGAGTGAGGAGAATGCTGCAGGGGCGGAGCTAGAGGCTGATAGGGAGGGCATGATGTTTAAATCACGGAAGTAAGTACACGCTACCCAGTTCAGGTGTATATGGTTTAGTACTGTTTAGCTGACTTGAGTGTTTGAAGCTGGGTCATCTTTGTACTGCTTTAAGTGCTCAGAAGCACTTCCAGAACATGTGTCAGTTTGGAGGACTTCTAATGTCTCAAATGCTGGACGCAATTGTAGTCCAACGTTTGCGACATTGCAGTGCTACCCCCACCCAGAGGCGTATCTACTGCAAGGCAAACTAGGCATTTGCCTTGGGTGGCACTTTCCAGGGGTGTGGCAAAAAATACCACTGCCTTTTGTCTCCCACAGGCACCATGAGGTCAATATTTGGAGGTTCCTGCAGGTCTCTCCGCTATCTAATAGCGGGAGACTCCCGGAGCGTCCGGGAGAGTTGGGATGTCTGCTAACCGATCCATTTACGGCTTTATCTTCTCCTGGTTCTCATCTTTTTGCCTCTATTTCATCTATGTGGCCCCTGTCATAGGTGAGTGAAGGGCCTGCCTGGGCACAGGTGGCTCCATGTTGGGGAGAGGGGTTTCATTACACTTACAACAGGGCCCTGCTTGCCAGATCAGGCAGACTGGTATGATAGACAGCAAGGCATTGGTGCGGCCGCTTGTGTCACCCACTGCCATGGCAGGGCTGCATGGATATCCACATTATATAGACACATAGCCAATGGTCCATCAGTCATACAATGATCAGGTATGTTCTGGCATCACACAAGTCCAGGGGCTGTGCATACAACTGAAAGGACATAGAGCAACATCACACAAAGGCCAAACCAGAGAGAATGGGTTCTATTGATCCCCGCTGTAGTGTCCTAGATCTCCAGATCTCTTCAACTCATGTACTGCAGATCAAGGGACACTATGAGGTTAATTCACAGCCAAGGTGAATTATGCAGTCACAACAGGCAGTTGAATTCAGGGCCGGCCTTAGGGGTGTGCGAGCCGTGCGGCCGCACAGGGCGCCATGGCAACAAAGGCGCCGTGCGGCCGTCACAGCTCGTCCTGTGGGCGGCTTCTCTCCCCCTCACAGCTGGCCATCCAATATGACAGCGCTCCCTCGT